GTACTCTCATTGGTCCTGGACTGTTCGCCGCCCTGGACTTGTGCGGCGGCGTCTTGAATTGCGCTCCCTCGGGGGCTGGCCCTGTCGTCGCCGCCGCAGGTCCCCCAGTAGGAAAAACTCCAGTCGATCCTCCTGCCCCTGCCGCACCTGCAACTCCAGCCGTCGTAGCCTGCTGCATCACAAAAGTCCCTAGACTGTTGAGCACCGACTCCGTGTGATTCTGCTTAGCCATGAGGTTGGACAGAAGCTGCATCATACCTTCGAGCTGTGCTCCGAGCGGCGGTGGCTCGGCCTTGGGCGGTCCAGGAACCGTCGGTTCTGGGGCTGCGCCTGCTGGATGTGTGCGATGCTCACCCCTCGGCGTGTGGATCTTCTGAGGGGCAGGGCGTTCAGCCGCGACCGAAGCTGCAGCACTTGTCCCGCCTCCTCCTCCACTGCCACGATCGTCAGCATACGTATCCGCCATCTCGGTGTCCGAGTCATCAAGCTCCTCAAGCTCTTCGATGCTGGTTTTGATGTGCTGCAACTCTACTTGACACTGCTGTATGTCCAGTTGTGTAGATTTGAGCCTTCCCTCCAGTACTTTCATTCTGTCCGTGGTAACATTTTTCCTCTGGCGTAACTCGTGGAGCTGCCTGGTGATTGGCCCCATCATGCTTAGCATATATTTCAGAACCGCAATCTCATTGACCGTGTAAGGCAGTCCTTCCCAATGTTTCGTCCAGCAATGCCCAGAGTAGCGAGACCCTTGAGCTTCTGCCTCAGTGACGCCTTGAACTTTTTGAGGCCTTCAATCTCCAACGGAGCGGGCTCGAAGAATGGTGAACTCTCTGCATCTGACTTGCAAGCCGGCATGATGGATGACAGATACTTCTTCACAGCTTTTTTGTTGTCGAGCTCGGTGACTGATGCCCTCGGCCTTGATGGTGCTCTGGACCTGACATCCCGCGCATGCACCCGTCCTGAACTCAAACCACCGTAATGAGCACCACCCTGCAATACTGAACTATGATGTGCCCAGTTCTGCTGCTGTTGGTTCTGTCCGTATGTCTGTCCACACAAACAACGCCAGTGGTGCCCTTTTATATACCGTCCGCACTGCACGCAATCCCACTGCACACCTGGTCCTGAATTCCGTGTCCCTCCTTTGCCTGCCATGTTTTGTGCAGAATGATGCGAAGCAAGGATATCTCTGGCCCGCAGCGCACGTAAAAGTAGTCTACAAGCTCCCCTTCGTGCACGTAAGCGTCGATACCAGCTCTTTTCTTTTCCCGTGATGTGTCTGCCCCCTGGCAAAATGCACGGCTTAGATCACAACAGATGAGAAATGACTCTGTTAAGCAACGTGTAAGGTGAGTCCGAGTGGTTCTGTATGAAGAACGCTCTGGCTCTTTCCAGAGTGCCAGAAAGGTCTCGGTCCCAAACCTTGTCCTCCTCCTCCTCCTCCTCCTTTTCTTCCTCCTCCTCCTCCTCCTCCTCCTCCTCCTCCTCCTCCTCCTCCTCCTGCTCCTCCTCCCATTCCTGCTCCTCCTCCTCCTCCTTGTCCTCCGCCTCCTCCTCCTCTGCTACTACTACTACTACTACTACT